ATCCTCCCTCTGGATGGGCTTTTAATATGGAGTTGATCCTAAGAGGATGTGATTTGCTTTGAGAATTGGGCCTGGAACCTGACTCCTGCCAGAATGTACTCTCTTCATCCCGAAGATGCATCAGAGCTAGAAACCTTTCACCTTTTGGTCATTCCAATATAAATGTAGCTCTTACTCATCAATTTGGATGGGCCAAACCTTTCTTGTTTGTTTTTAGGTCTTTCTTTGAAGGTGGTAATTATTAATATTTTTGATTCTTTAGGCATTAAGGTAAGAAAATTTAGTTGTTGAAGAGTACTTTCAATTTGATCATTCTGAAACAATATTCTGCTTCTAAATTTGGATGGAGGCAGTTTAATTTTGGTGGGCGGTACTGGAGTTTGAACTCAGAGCTTTGTGTTTCCTAGACAGGCACTCTTCCGCTTTGAGCTATGCCTCTAGCCCTTAATTTTTAAAAAATTTCTGCTGGTTTTGTATCATGCTATACCTATGCATTTGGCAGACCATCATACCCTCCACTGGATCCTTAAACCAGCTCCTGGCATGCTAGGATTGTCTCACATCCCACTCAATATCCCTGACAACATCGTCTATACCCCTCCTTCCTTATCTCAACTTGACTTTAACAACCTCCTGGTAAAAGTGCACCAAGAAGCCCTGGGTGTCATAACCCCAATGAGTCTTCTAAAGTGGACAGAATGCTATGTGTGCCATTGTTTTAAATGATTTCATTATGATAGCCAGAAATATAGCACTTACCAGCTGCTAGGTATTGCTCTGAACACTGCAAATACTAACTTAAACCTACAAGTATATAAGGTAGGTGCTATTAAAAGTTATTATAGGCCCACTTTATAGGTGAGAAACTGAGGCAGACAAAAGTTAAATAACTTGGACAAGATCATGTAGCTAGTAAGTGGTGGAGTAGGGATTCAAACCCTTGATCTGCACTTGGTCACTATGTTGCTCCACTAAGAGAATAAAACAAAAAAACCAGCAGAAAAGCCAACAAAAGTCCCAAAACAAGCAAGAATATTCTTGGCAAATAAAGGACATTTCAGAAAGGGAGAATGGAGACTGCAATCTAGTTTGAGACTGTACTCAATACAAAGGCAGACTCATAATATGTGTGTGTGTGTGTGTGTATGTATGCATATATACATGTATATACACATATACATATTTGTGGTACTGAGGGTTGAACTCAGGGCCTCATGCTTGTTAGGCAGGCACTCTACCACTTTAGCTACACTCCCAGCCATTTTGCTTTCATTGCTTTTTCACATGGGGTCTTGAGCTTTTGCCTTGTGCTGGCCTTGCACCTTGATCCTCCTGCCCTGCCTCCTGAGTAAGTGGGATTATAGACATGATCCACCATGTCTTGCTTGATTTTGAGATAGATCTTGCTAACTTTTTCCTGGGCTAGCCCCAAACCATGATTCTCCTATCTCTACTTCCCGAGTAGCTGGGATTACTTATGGCAGGAAGCCTCCATATCTGGTCTCATTTTATGGTTCTTATATTGTCTGTATGGGTCAAGAATTATCTCATTTAATCATTACCCCAATGAAGTCTGGCTTAACAGCTTTATTGCTAAATATTTATACACTGAGAGAATCATCCTTCACACATAATTTATTCACAGTACACTGTATCCCAGATAGAATAAATGAATCAACTTTGAGGCACAGGAGAGACAACAGAGCCACACTGAAACAAGCTCTCACTGCCACCGCTTAGCATCTGCCTAGGTGAAAACCAACATTTCTGATTCCCACCAGAATCCACTTGTACTTTAAGAAAAGTATCAACACAGGAGTTCCAAGCTTAAGTCTTAATTCTGGCTTTTCCACTGTAGCTGTGTGATTTAGTATAGGTGGTACCATCTTTAAATCTGTTTTATATTTTTTCCTATTTTCTTGAGGTCCAAATGAAATGGTCATACAAGGAGATAAACTATATGCTAGAAAATTATAAGGTAATACTAGAGGTTATTTTAATAAAAATGATCATTATATTTATCTTAAGCAAGCTATCTGCTGCCTCCTCTCCTCTACCTCCCAAGTAAACTTCTTGAGGCCAGAACCATGTCTTACTAATCGTTACCTCCTAAGATTGCTTCTGGTATGTAGCAAGTAATCAATAAACATTTCTTATGAGTAACTATAAGTGATTTTCAAAAGAATTTGGGAGGTCCTTATGTCAGCCACACTACCTGCTTCCACCACGTGGTCCATTGTTGGAAACCTCTTGTACACAGCTGTGCTCACCGAACGGAAGATAAGCAGGGACGTGAGATTTACATAACGCATCAACGTCCTTCTGAGCAGGCGCCCCTGCTGGTCACTTCCGTAAACACTGCTGGAGATGAGGAACATCAGCCTGTCTGGCCAGGGCAGATTCACAAACTGGTTCCACCATCGGTTCACTACCAGAGTAACATAAAACCCTGCAAAATGACAGGAAATTATAAAGCAATTTCTTGCAGTATGCATTTTGGGTACACTGATGCTTTTTAGTAGAATTTTAGCCTTTTTAGGGGTTGGGAATATAAAAATATGTTATTATCCATACCTTAAGATTTTTGTCTTCCTGGAAAAAAAGTCATTGGTGCCTGGTACTGCCATGGCGCCCAGTGAGTGGGTGTTAGAACTTAAATATTGATGACAAAAAAATGGAGAGTTAGTGAGAGAAAGCTATTGTCCAATAGCAGATTATCACCTCAGACTCGTTGGGTGTTAATTTAGCGAAAGCAACCCTGATTGCAGACTATGGATGATTCTGTTCTAGTGCAAGCGGTGGCTTTTCAGGCATGCCTCTCAGCCTGGAAACACTCCCATGCAGAGTCAACCGTGTCATTCTAATGGAGACAGCTGTATGGCTGCATTCTGCGTGTGACCTATACTTACCAAGCACAAAGGTTACTGGAATTTGTTCAGCATATCTGTCACAGTAAATTGATAATTTTTCAAAGTAACGTTTTTGGGCTCCTGTAAGTAACAATCTGGAGCAAAAATAAAATGCACAGCCCTTTATGATATTATACTTCTGCACCTGCTTTGCAAGTGACATTAAGTGCAAACAATTAAGCACAAATAATTTTAGGCTTTTTAAAGGAGCTATAACCTTTTCCTTTTTCCTTAAGCTGATGTGTCTTGAAAGGTTTTAATTGCTTAATGTTTCAAGTACTAAAATTTTTAGTACATAAATGTTGCTGGCCACTAAATAGTGGGATTTATTTATTAACCATTTTAGTTTTTAAACTTCATATTTTTAAAGTTTTACTGTTCATTGAATTTGAAGCAAGATATGTTATAAAAATAGCCCATTTTTCAATTATTCATCAGGAATACTTAAAAAGAGAATATCAATTAAGTGGATTAGAGGTATTAAGTCATTATTAAATAATAACATTTGAGATCTTGATCTTTCTTCTGAATATGTTACTTAGCACATTCTAGATTACACATGTTGCACTTTGAGGAATATTTTATTCTAAACAAATATTTGAAATATAAATAAAAAAGATTTAACAATTAGAAGTGAAAACTATTAATATTACATTACTTTCAAAATTTTTATTTACAGATCTGTCTGTTTTGGTATTGTTAGAGATAACTGCATTTAATGAGACCATTATTGATATGTATGTTTTAGGGAGGGAATTCACAGTCAGAGGAAATGGTTAATAATTATGATCAAAATCTGGAAAGAGAAGCCACACACACAAATTTGCGTAAGTCAATGAATGCAGCTGTTCCAAAGGATGAAGGAACCCAAGGAAAGATCCATTATAATAAAGACCCCTTTGGTTGAGGACAGTGATACAGGAAGCAGAGGGATAATGAGGTAACAGTGCATAACCAATCAGATTGCAAGTGGAGCACTGTTGGGAGACAGTACTGACAAAAGAAGAGTTTGAGGTACAGGTGAGTGAGGAGATCCTGCCCCAGCTTTGGAGGAGGTGTCAGACTTAGTGAAGTCAGGGAATGCTGACAAGAGAGGCACTGATTGGCTGCATGGACCTATCAGAAGAGAGTCATATTGATGACATGTCACAGCCAGAGAGTTTTCCTAAAACATAAGTAAAAATGGTTGAAGAGGATTTAATAGGGAAAGCGTGGAACTTAGGGTCAGCCCAAGCCAGATTTTAGTGCACGTCTGCCACTTACAGATTTAGATTTAGAGCATATTTTCAAATCTTTCTGAGCAGTTTTCTTATTTGTTAATGGAAACAATAATATCTACATATCAGGGATGATATAAGGATTAAAAAATATCATATGTATCATTAGCTTTTAAACATATGGCCAAATAGTAAAATGGATGGTATCATTACTAATTGGCCAAAGAATAATATTTACATAACAGACACATAAAAATGGTAATAGCTAGAAAATCCTACAGAGATTATTTTGTCAAATTCTTTAAAAAATAGGGAAAGGTATAGTAAATTAGTGAATTTTAGTTCTGCTTTATGATTTTTGTTAAGTATATTTATTTGCTTATAATAGGACTAATAAAAAACTCAAAGTCATTAGTAGACATGAGACTAAAACTATGTTTATATTTTTCCACAGGTATGTTTGACTTTCTTGATAATTTCATTTTGTAGTTCTTGGTAAACCTTTGATTAAAAGGATCTACTTCAACAACCATTTAACAGTTGAACTTTAAAAACATGAAGAAAAACTTGAATGATTATTATAAATGCTATAGAAGCACTCTTTGATCTTTGGAAAAATATATGTTGATAATTTTGGGTGGGTATATGTATGATATTGGAGCAAAACTTGAGGCCCTAAGGAGCATTTCTGGCTACATTGCAACTGGTCTAAGGGCTAATTCTATTCTAAGCAGCAGTAGCAGCAATAAACTCACATTAGTAAAAATAAACTAATGAGATAATTATCCTGAAACATCATTGTGTCTTCCACCACTTCGTATTCTGAAGGCTTAGGTGACATACAAGTAAATTGTCAAAATAATATTATATGTACCATATGTGAACAATTGTCAGAGGTTTTTTTAATAAGACATTCTCTCTAAAGATATTTTGCCAAATGTTGGAATGGCAGTTTTGATGGGTAACAAAACAGCTCTTCTCATTTTACTTCTGATAATTATTGACCAGCTAAATTAATATCCCTCCTCTCCAAATGGAGTCTTGTTGCTGCAAGGAAGAATGTGCATAAGAACAATGATACACAAATTTGTTCATCTGTATTCCAAAGAAAAGTAAACTGATACACATAGAAAATGTGGAAATACAGCCTCAAAAACCTCGAGTTTTCTTAGTTCAAGTTCTAGCTTCCTCTAGAGAAGAAATGGGGATGCATTCAATTTTAATAAAAAACATAAACCTTTCATCATACTAATAAAGTTTTATTAAGACTATTATTTTTAGTTATGAAAGTGTTTCCTGGACACGATATTGCTCAAATTTTCTATCAGTCTTACAGGCACAGGTTGTGATATTATAAAGAATAAATGTCTCCTTTTGTGAAGGTAGCATGCCCTGAAATCAGAAGACATAAAGAAAACAAATTCATCTTCAGGCCTTAATTCTTTGGTAGAGGCATTGGGAAGGTTGGAAGGCACTTATGCTGGATAAGAGTTCTCCATTCCAGGCAAGTGGAAGGAAAGTTGCTTGATAAATGCCATTCATGGACATGGATATGTTAATTCCACATGTAGTTGTAACAAGCTGTCAAATCACAAATTCAAACTGTGAATGACATTAGTTGAGAGAAGCACAAATATTTATTCTTCTGTGGACTTTGTCTATTCAAAATCACCACACAATAAAGGTCTCGGTATAAATGTTACGATTTATGCATAAAACAGCATGATTAATACCTCAGGATGAATTCACGTGGGGCTGGAATGAGAGCCTTTTGAATCTGATAGTTACAGTCTACTTAACATTGTCAAAATGGTTAGGTGTGGATTAAAATACCCTGCCCTGTGGAGAAGACAACAGAGAGGTTCATGCAAAGGGAAAGGTTACATAGTGCAAAAGTCAGCGGCAACCAGAGGATTCAGATTTTTGAGACTGTATTCTTACATAATATCTGATGGCCATTTAAGGACACATGCAAAGCAATGTACCTGTACACAAAACTTATTGCAGTATAAAGGACAGCAAAAACAATAAATTCCCTGTACAGTAGTTTGTAGATGCTGCCTCTCCACTTGAGGAGTAACCTATGAAATCCAAAAAAAGTCGCATTTGCTACTTTACTGGAGTAAGTGACAGTCATCTTGGATAGTTTTATTCTAGAAGAGCAAGAAGACAAAACACAAATAAAAAGTCATGTAAAACATAGGGTATAAATCTGTATATCAGAGGAAACCCAAGCCAGTAATCAGTCATTCCCCATTCCCTTTTTTTTTTTTTTTGCCTTTCTCAGTTTTTACAATTTGGAACTTCAGGATAACTGCTATCTCACCATCTAGCATCTCAGTGATAGATCTTTTAATAGAGAAGGAGAGGAAAGGAATCCAGGGGAGAGTGTTTTTAGAGATCTTAAAAATGCCTTAATATTATTTTTAGACTATACAGACACTGCACAGTAAGTATCTGAATGAATGAGACATGAGATGTGTTGTGATGTCACCCATCATACATATTTTTAAATCTAGAGGAAGAGCATTGATACGCTAAATAAACTGACATTTTCAAAAGTAATAGCCAAACTGATTGTGCAGGCCTTTATCTACTGAAATATGTAAAGAGATACTTATTTCAGCTTTAACCTTTCCTAAGGGGAAGTGATGGCTTTCTTCTTAGAAATAAGGAGATGCTGTTGGAAAGAAGCAAGGCCCTTGGTAGTGACTTAATTGATCCGTTACTTTTGGTGGTGTTTGGTGGATGTGGTGTCTCTCTAGTGGCACTCACAGGGCACCGATAGTACTCTGTGCCCTTCAAAAGGCAGCCCAGCTGTTGGGCAACAGTGATATTTTAAAAAGTGTGCTTTCCCAGCTAAAATGCTTAGGGATGGTTGACTTTCTGTTTGGAACTGAACTAAATGAGGTCATTATTTAGGACTCCTCCTGGATCAGTTTCATGGATATGGATAGGATGAGAACAGGGTTCCCCAAAGCCTGGTTTTCAGTGAGTTGTTTGGAATTCCATCACTTTTCAACAAGATATTAAACATTCTAGCTATTGAGATGGATGGCCCAATGCTAATCATTGTTTGAAAATCCTGGATCATATGTAGATTACATGGAATTTCTCTGAAACCTTGGATTTCTCAAAAGGAACCATGAGGACAGTTTTACAGAGCTATTTAGCCTTGAGAGCATGGAGCTTTTAAGAAGGATTATAGTAGACACAGAAAATAAATTCTATAATGGATTTTTCACTTAAAGTAATTTACAGCACACATTTTTATCAGGAACAAGAAAATTTTGATATTTAGATCTGGGAAAATAATCCACCTCTAATTTGTCCCTTTTCTCTAAGGAGATGAAATTATGGCACTACATTCAGCACTTAAAAAAAATCACACACATAGTCTCTAACATTGCTGATTTTAATAAAGAAACCTTTCGGCATATAAAAAGTTGAGATTCATGCCACAAAGCCAGTTGCATTTTTCCATCTTTACCTTGCCTGTTTGTCTAATGTGAGCACGGGGAGAGGGATGTAATAAATCAAGTCCATTTCATAATTTGTTCTCATAGGCATGGTAATTTTAAATAACAGTCCTCAAATAACTTCTCTTTCTTTCATTTAATAGTTCATACTTAGGTTCTGTCAGAAAAACTAAAACTACATAGTGTAGAGGTTAGCGTTAAAATGCATAGGTTTACTCTGTGCACTAACCTATTTATTTGGAGTCTCCAACAGGAAAGAAAATCTTCAAATGTCAGGCTTCCTCTGAAGAGGTGCCTTCAGGTCGGTGCTACACTCTCCCTTTCACTCTTCACTCATGGACAGTCAGATTTTCTTTCTCTTCTCTGGCTACTGTGAGGGCCCAGCATGTAACAAGCACAGGGGTTAAATGTTTTTCCACTTGTGGAAGTCTGTTTATGCCAGTTTGCCCACTGATGACAGTTATAGCTGGGAACAAACAGAAGTGACAGCTGCTGATGTTGCTTTTTTCTAATCTATAATTATAACTCCACCTGCTGCCCAAAGTACCCCTTAGAATGAGAAGTTAGTGGTGACATGAAGGATGTCGGATGTCGCCCATTTAACTCTATTAGATTTATTTCAACTCTACCTTGGGATCAAGGAAGAAAGGCCCATTTTCCCCTAAAGAGTTCTGAAGAGACTCTGCTAGTCAAAAAAGGGAATTAGGACAGTCTTTTTGGTACTTGAAATGAAGAATAAATCTTATGATGCCATAAACTGGGGCAGACAAGAATATAAACAGGATTTTTGCTCATTTGAGAGGAATCGAGAATGCTCTTTCATTTAAAGTGACAAGCATGTGCGTTTCGGTGTGTGTGTGTGCATGCTTTAGAACAGAGATTGTGATGTGATGGCTGAGGTCGTGGAAAACCATAACGCACTGATTTATCACATTTGTTGTATTTCAATAGTTAGCTGGGAAAACTTTATTCAAATAGTTTATTTTAGATTGATACTGCCTACACATTTTTCTTCCTAAAAGAGAGAGTTCATCAGCATTCCTCAGATAGCGAAATTATTAATTTCAGGGCCAATTCCTGGGACTTTGCCAACTTTAACTTATACATCAATCATTGCATCATAAGTTTAAAGAAAATGATGATTTTTTTTGTAGAAAAAGATGTAGAATAAAATGCTTATTCTATAATGAAGACTACATGTAATAATGAAAACTTTTCTAAAGTTTATCTGAAGGGTGTGTGATTTTTTCCCCTAAATTTTCTTGAACTTTTTATTCATTTGGCTGGTTTCTCTGTTAAACTGTAATTACCTTTGAGTAATGATAGGATTGTAGATGTCTTTAATTTCTTGCCCCATTCTTGTTCATCGTTTCAGCTTGGAACCTGAAAATGATGGCTACTCTATGTATTTATTGTTTATCACATTGTCTTTACTATTATGCTTCAGTTAAGACATTTAGGGGAATTTGTGAACATTTAAAAAGCATATACACAGGTACTTCACATCTTATATTTAGGTTGCCATGAGAAGTGGTTGGATGGGCCTGATGTTACACTAACAAAGGATTTCAAAACTGATCAATGTTAGGGAACCTGAACAATGTAAACTTGAATGCTTATGACATGGAAATATGGGAGGCATTGGGTAAAATTCGCCCTGCTGCATCTCTTACTAGATGTATGGCAGCACTGAGACTTGTGGCATAATTTTTGCAGCCGTGACTTTAGAGCCTGAGATCCACCTCCTCCTCTGAGGGGCACTGTAAGCCTTGTTGGTTGGTCTCATTTTTAACAGGGGAGATTACATTCATCTCTCCCATCAGAGTTTTGTTGTCATTTTAGAAGACAATACAGAATAGCTCAAGAAAAATTTTTAAATCTTGTGATAGATAATTCCTATATAAACAGTCACAAGACTCAGAAGAAGAGATCTGATTGCAACTAAAACTTAGCCAAAACAAATACTATAAACTTCAAAAGCTCAGCTAGCCCCCCAAAATTATTCATTCTTATAAGTATACATTTACATAAATATATATTCATATGAAACATGCTTATAAGGTAATGTGAAATATAATAATATATAATACATACTTATTATATGTATAATATATAGATCATTCTATTCATGAATTCCACATCCATGGATTGAACCCACTGAGAGAAAAAATATTTGGGAAAGAAAGGACTGAGTGTGGTGGTCCATGCCTATAATCCCAGCTATGCAGGAGGAGAAGGTAGAAGGATCAAGGTCTGAGGCTGGCCCCAGGCAAAAGCATGAGACCCTATCTGAAAAAGAAACTAAAGCAAAAAAGGCTGAGGTTGGGGCTTAAGTGGTAAAGTGTTTGTCTAATAAGAGAAAGGCCCTGAGTTCAAACCTCAGTACTGCCAAACACACACACACACACACACACACACACAGACACACACTGTATATATTTTATATATAATATATATGAAAAATTGCATACCATTAGGTTTTTTTTTAAAAGGAATGACTAATCAATGGGTAGATGGAGTATTCTATGCAAATCAACCAATAATGATTAGTTTGCAGGAACAAACTCCCATTGTTGAGCTCTGACTCTGGTGCCTATTTCTAACAGGTACTGAAAGATGCCGCTTAGAGATAAACTCCTTAGAAGTGGCATGTCACTATAGTTTATTTCAAAATATCTAACAAAACACCAAATTGCAGTTTCCTGTATAGAACTTTTTGAAGGAAAATTTAAAATTTCTTGTCTATTTTCATTGGAGTGGTGATTACTGAAAAAAACCTTATACTATTATTTCTACCACCTGCTTCACCAAAACTAAAATACAGTTTTCTGTTCAGAAAACCTGGACATAGAAAGTTCATTTCTGGGACGATACATAACTTACTATTAGTATTAATACTGTTAGTAAAATTTGTTTTCATTGTTGTTATTGGACTGAATCTCAGGAACTGGAATGATGGAGATATTACCACACAGAGAACTTCAGTATGGCCTTATCACGCTGCTTCCATCAGTGTGAAGTACATGTATTTATAATTGTCATGTTTTGCAGATTAAATTTGAAACCGATTTAAAAATAAGCTTTTTAAATGACTCATAGGACAGATTTTTTTGTTTTGTTTTAGTGAGTGTATAGTTAGACTGTGTAACCCAGGTTAGTTTTAAACTCATGATCTTCCTGCTTTTATCTCCTAAGTGGTGGTATTACAGGTGTGAGTCACCATTTATGGCTAGGACTGTTTTGAAAGTGTATTATTAATTTTAATTATTAATTATTTTTCCCTTATACTTCGAATCTACCAGGTTATCAGTGATTTATGGAGTTTTCTGATCATAGGTATTTTTTTGCACAAATTGGTACCAACGTATTTTGATATATTAGCTATAAATTTTCTATGTAGTACATACACATGCTTATGTAAAAACTTAAATTTTTAGTGTGGAATAGTTTCTATGGATTTGAATTGCCACAGCAAAGTATATGCAAAATCTACATTTGAGTAAGTTTCCTCCTAATTAGAATAAGTTCTTACAATGTTTGAATCAGATTCTTCATTACTAAAACTGTGCATACATTAGTAACAGTATATTCTTTATCATTTCTTTTTTTTTTATTCATATGTGCATAAAATGTCTGGATCATTTCTCCCCCCTCCCCCCACTCCACTCCCTTCCTCTCCCCCCACCCCCTCGATACCCGACAAAAACTATTTTGCCCTTATCTCTAATTTTGTTGAAGAGAGAGTATAAGCAATAATAGGAAGGACCAAGGGTTTTTGCTAGTTGAGATAAGGATAGCTGTACAGGGAGTTGACTCACATTGATTTCCTGTGCATGTGTGTTACCTTCTAGGTTAATTCTTCTTGAACTAACCTTTTCTCTAGTTCCTGGTCCCCTTCTTCTATTGGCCTCAGTTGCTTTTAAGGTATTTGCTTTAGTTTCTCTGAGTTGAGGGCAACAAATGCTATCTAGTTTTTTTAGGTGTCTTACCTATCCTCATACCTCCCTTGTGGGCTCTCACTTTTATCATGTGATCAAAGTCCCATCACCTTGTTGTGTTTGCCCTTGATCTAATGTCCGCATATGAGGGAGAACATACGATCTTTGGTCTTTTGGGCCAGGCTAATCTCATTCAGAATGATGTTCTCCAATTCCATCTATTTATCAGCGAATGATAACATTTCGTTCTTCTTCATGGCTGCATAAAATTCCATTGTGTACAAATACCACATTTTCTTGATCCATTCATCAGTAGTGGGGCATCTTGGCTGTTTCCATAACTTGGCTATTGTGAATAGTGCTGCAATAAACATGGGTGTGCAGGTGCCTCTGGAGTAACCTGTGTCAGAGTCTTTTGGGTATATCCCCAAGAGTGGTATTGCTGGATCATATGGTAGATCAGTGTTTACCTTTTTAAGTAGCCTCCAAATTTTTTTCCAGAGTGGTTGTACTAGTTTACATTCCCACCAGCAGTGTAAGAGGGTTCCTTTTTCCCGCATACTCGCCAACACCCTTTGTTAGTGGTGTTGTTAAAGATGGCTATTCTAACAGGGGTGAAGTGGAATCTTTGTGTGGTTTTAATTTGCATTTCCTTTATTGCTAGAGATGGTGAGCATTTTTTCATGTGTTTTTTAGCCATTTGAATTTCTTCTTTTGAGAAAGTTCTGTTTAGTTCGATTGCCCATTTCTTTATTGGTTTATTAATTTTGGGAGAATTTAGTTTTTTAAGTTCCCGATATATTCTGGTTATCAGTCCTTTGTCTGATGTGTAGCTGGCAAATATTTTCTCCCACTCTGTGGGTGTTCTCTTCAGTTTAGAGACCATTCCTTTTGTGAGCAGAAGCTTTTTAGTTTTATGAGTCCCATTTATCTATGCTATTCTTAGTTGCTGTGCTGCTGGGTTCCATTGAGAAAGTTCTTACCTATACCTACTAATCCAGAGTATTTCCTACTCTTTCCTGTATCAACTTTAGAGTTTGGGGTCTGATATTAAGATCCTTGATCCATTTTGAGTTAATATTGGTATAGGGTGATATACATGGATCTAGTTTCAGTTTTTTGCAGACTGCTAACCAGTTTTCCCAGCAGTTTTTGTTGAAGAGGCTGTCTTTTCTCCATCGTATATTTTTAGCTCCTTTGTCAAAGACAAGTTGGTTATAGTTGTGTGGCTTCATATCTGGGTCCTCTATTCTGTTCCACTGGTCTTCATGTCTGTTTTTGTGCCAGTACCATGCTGTTTTTATTGTTATTGCTTTGTAATATAGTTTGAAGTCAGGTATCGTGATACCTCCAGCATTGTTCTTTTGACTGAGTATTGCCTTGGCTATTTGTGGCCTCTTGTGTTTCCATATAAATTTAACAGTAGATTTTTCAATCTCTTTAATGAATGTCATTGGAATTTTGATGGGAATT